ACGCCTTTGACTATCTCTCTGGTTTTTCCTCTCATCGATGTAAAAGGTGCACAATTTTGACTTGTGCTAAATCTAAATCTTTTTGACTATACCTTTGAGAATCTTAAACCTGGTCTCTTGTTCACCTTTTTTGTTTGTTTTCTTTCCTTGTTTCCCAGTACTCTAGATAATTCCTCTAAATACTGAACTTCTAATGAGCACTTACTGTATAATTGCCTAATAAAAGGCAGGCCTTTTTAGGAGCAACATATATCACATGTTAAAAATTGTTCTTTTAATTTTCAGTCCTTTAGTGGTCAGCTTTTTTACAGCAAAATCTCACCTACAGGGTGTCTTGAAACTTGGTACAAAATATGTATGCAGCATGTTATAAAACAGTTCTGTTAAGGTACATTTTGATCTTTGGATGTGTGGTTTACTTAAAGTACACTGCCTTAGTAAGCTTGCAGGTCGTGTCTTTGTGCTTTCTCCGAAAACCTCAGAAGTTGTAAAAGATTTATTTCAGTGCATGTGGTAGTGTTTTGTGTGTGGTTCTTTGTTCCTGTTCTAAACTGTTATTAACCACTGAAGTGAACCTTCTCCCAGGTTTGGCCTTTTGGTATTCACAGTGTATTCAAAACCTAATTACAGATTAGTCCAAATTTGAGACTTTTAGAGCAAGTATCAGAAGATTCAAAAAGAAACTGAGAGTAGCAGTATCATTTCATGTGGAGATAAAGGGACCCAAAACATGAATGGGTGTCAAGTCATCTGAAGAAAAGAAAAAAGAGAAGGAACTTCATTCACTGAGATGAACGGTTTATGAGGTGGGGATTATGGGAATATTCATGACTCAATCAAGAAGTACAATGAATTGATGTTTGAAATAGTTCATCTTTTAAGTAAACATTGGATAAATGGAAAGTAGACTCCATATTCACTACATGTAGAATTGCCTATTTCAGAACCGAAATGGCAGTTCAAACAGAAATAGCGGTCTGTTAATCCCTTCCTGAGTTGGTTTAATTTATCAAGTTAATCTAAAATTTTATAAGAACTCTCTAGCTATAAATATTAAATGCAAATATTTAATAGAAAAAGGAGTTTGTTTTGTAATTAGCCATGCTAATCTGTGCACACATTTCCATGGGAAATTTATAATAGCAAAATAGTTAAATACAGTAAGATCTTGGGACTTGAGAACACTAATACTGGGACATTAATTTGGAAGGATCAGAAAGTAGAAAGTTTTAGTTGCTCACACTTAACCCTGTTTTTATGGATAACTCTTACTTTCTGTACGTAGTCAGGTGGCATAGTTAGTATATAAGAAGTGCTGAAAATTTAGAATTTAAAATGAGTGAATTCAAATATGAGAAATAATGCTATTATTTGTAATATAGCTTCTTTGCAAAGAATGAAATAGTCTACTTTCTAAAGCTCTGTGTATGTGCGTACACGCACAAGGTCAGCATATTTTAGTCTTAATAAGTGTAATAATTAAATTGAAGTTTCTCTTTCCCCTGGTATTGTATCGTGAGATCTGAGTATTCTCTGTTCAGTGTTGCTTGTGTGGTTCGGGTGACCCAGCAGCTGTCCCTGATCTTCATTGTCAGTGTGTACGCTGCCTCCTGTGCCCAGGCTGGCTCTGGTTCTTAGCTCCTGGCTTCTGCCCTCTTGGTCACTGGCATAACACCCAGGAAGCCTGTCAAGTGATGTTTTCTTTCTCGATAACCTATAGCCTTTATTTTCTGTGCTGTATTTCTGGGAACTTCGCTTACCATTTATCAAGTATCTGTTGAGTGTGTATATTGAGTCTGACGTTGTAGACATTGAAGATGCTGGACTTTCTTTGTTCAGCTTCATACTTTTGTATGGTTTTGCATGGATCTCTTCAAATGTGTATAGATGTAGTCTTCTCAAGAGGTAATATGTATTGTATGTTTTTTAGTCCTTCCTAGGCTCAGAACTACTTAGGAGAGTACTTGGTAACTATTCCATTCCCAAACTTTTAGCACAACATATCTTATGTCCCATTAAAGGTAAAACTTAAAACAACACTTGAAATACACTTGAAATAATAGCATTTGTTTTGTTACCATTTAGAGTCTATATATGGTAGCAAATTTAATACGTTTCTGAATCAGAAGCATGTTCCAGAGCTAATAACTCTCCAGGCTTCGTGTCCTCGTCTTTGAGCGTGACACTTTCAGGGTCGTATGAGGACCAAATGAAACATGGGATTTTTTTTTTTTTTTTGAAACACGGGATTTAAAATCATCCCAGAGTAGACACTTCATAGACTTAGAATGAAGTAGGTAGGAGGTGACTAAGGAGTTCTTCTCAAAGGCAAGAGGGCATCTCTGTGCCCATATTACTCCCTTGAGTGACTGTATAAAATGAAGGGGCAAGAAATGAATTTTTAAATTTATAAAGGATACACTTACCACAATTACCCTTTTTTCCTTTAACATTTACCTCTTCCCTCTCCTCTCCTCCTCTCCCTGCTCCCCCGCCATTACTTCCCAGTGACTTACTTAAGTAAATACCCTTTGTGTCATTCTTGAGGTTTCAGAATACGGTGGCATGGTGTCCTGATACTCTAATTGTAAAATATTTAGTAAAAACAGCTTTTTAAAAGCAAAATTTGACAATTTTATTCTGTGGTTTTCTTATTAAAGTAATTAGATAAGTCTGTTTGCTTTCGTTTGGGAAAAAAATTGCCTATCTTTAATTTTAGAAGAATTTGAATTTGATTCGGACTCCACAGTTAGACACCTGCATTAGAGTAGCCCTTGGTCTCTTTCAATACAAACAGATCTTGCTCTGAACAGTGTCTCGTGAGTGATGCTACTGTACCGCCCGCTCACAGATTGTCCAGCTATGGATGGAGGTCAGTGACAGGGCAAAGGATGGATGGAGCTGGCCCTGCAGCTGCCTGATTGTACTCAGATCATGGAGCAAATAGAATCAGATTTCCTCTCTTCATACAGTACAGGTTTCCCAAGGAGAAATAGTTCTTAGTGAAATGTTTAAAGGGGTTTCCAAGGCTTTCAAACACCTGTTTCAGATTTTCATGCATTGTGCTGTTTAAGCCAGATGATTTTTTAAATACCCTGTTCATTTCCAAATTTCTGTGAGGCCATATATTCCTCTCCTACTCTCCCTCCCCTTTAAAAAAAAAAAAATTCTTCAGCTGATGAACTGCACTATGTGGAACTCTAAAATGCACTGAAGGAAATAGGTGAAGCTATTTCTAAGCAACTAGATGAATTAATTTTAAAAATAAGAATGTGGCCTTATTTTGAGAAAGGATGTAGTTTACGGGTTTGACTGTTCTTTTACAGATAGTACAGACTAAACTTCCAAGAGATGGGCTGGGATTATTTTTTACCATTTCTCCAGTTTACTTTTGCAATTAAGGAATTATTGCCACCTCTGCGATAACTATTCTCATATTTGCTCAGTAAATAGTTTGATTAAAAAGCAGTAGGGTTTTTTTTTTCTCTATTGATTTTGTGATAGTCTCAGACTAATACCAAGAGGTAGAAGTGTTAAATTACTGGCAAAAAAAAAAAAAAAAAAAAAAAGATGAAGACACTGTGTTCTTGATATGCAGCCTTATAGGCTTTGTTGAGTTCCTGCACTGCTAATAAGAATTCATAAAGAGGATAGTTCTTCCTTTCATTGGCTGTTCATCACAACTGCTGTGTCACTTATAGAAATGTTTATGTCTTCAATTTGCAGATTATTTTTAAATATAAAAGATAGAAGTGCTGAGGTGCCTGAGTGGCTCAATCACTTGAGTGTCTGAAACCTGAACTTTCAGCTCAGATCATGAGCTGAGGGTCAGGAGATGAGCCCACGTAGGGCTCCATGCTCAGCAGAGTCTGCTTGAGATTCTCTCCTCACTTTGCCTCTCCTCCCACTCAAATGCATGAATAAACAAACAAACAAACAAATAAATAAAATATTACAATGATTTTTCCAGATTCAAAGCAGAATGCTTTACAGTTTTGCCTCTAGACCAATAGTTTTGAACCAGTCACTTCACTTTAATTGCTAAGAATTATGTTAAACAGGCAAAAAATATTTGTTACTGGGCTTACCACAAGCTATATTTTAAAGGAGGAGCTGCATGATTAAATTAGCGATGAAGTAGAATAAATCATGACTTACTTTCTTTTTTTTTTTTTTGACATTCAGAGGTTGACGTGTACTGTGACTAGTTTATTTTCCTGTGAAGGAAATCTTTCAGAGAGAAGGTATAGATTTTATTTGGGAGTCTGTAAACATGAAAATATAAACTCAGATAAAATAATCTAAGTCTTTCTCCAGTACCTGTGGTGTTTTTAAACTTTATTAATTTATAGCTAGAAAAGTACATTTTTTGTATGTATTTTTAAAGTGTTTTTCCCTTTTCATGTTTGTTGCAAGTATTTCCTACAATTTCTTTTATCTTTTAAATTTAGGACATTTTGACATATAAAGTATATGATTTAATGTGGTCATACTGGTAATCTTATCCTTTATAACTTTTCCCATTTATCCTAGAAAGTCTCTTTCCAGTCTAAGGCCTATTAAATGCTCACCTGTATTCTCTTTTAATTTTTAAAAATAGTTCCATTATTTTATTTTATATTTTCTTCTGTTCCAGATATTGCTGAGTCCTTGGTTGGACTCCAGAGAATCAGAAAACTCCTTAAAATTCTTTAAGCAGTTACATATGTTTTTATACATACATTTCTCTACGTAGATTCCATAACTCTTAAAACATTCTCAGAAGAGTCTGTCACCAACCCCATAGTCCTTCCCTTTCCAAAAAATTGTTAAGAGCTACTACTACAATCCATTTGAACCTTTTTTGGATATCAGATGGTGTGTTGTGCTAAAGTAATTTTTTCCCCTTTTCCCAAATAGAGTATCCCAGACCATTTATTGAATAATTATCTTCTAGATTTGTATTGTCTTTGAGAAATAAATTCACTTTTAACTAATTTGTTATCTTTTTTATTCCACAGAGAAAGTTAGAGAAATTCAAGAAAAACTTGATGCTTTTATTGAAGCTCTTCATCAGGAAAAATAAATGGTAATAAGTCAAAGTCCTCTTCCTGCATTGGTACTGACTAGATGCAAAATTTATATTTTTTAACTTATTATTATAGTTTATCATTGTATCTGACTATATCTTGCTTATTCCTTAATAGCAATTTTAATGTAATTAAATCATTTTAATGGCAAGGAATCTCTGAAACTAATTCTACATTTCATATGTGTAATGTTCCTTTTCAATACTTGATTGCCTCTGGCTGAACTAAAAATATTCTCTAGAACTCATTTTGGACAGAACAAAGGTAAACAAAGCTAAGCTGTTTCATAATACGCATGTGGCTCGTCAGTTTTCTGCATGTAAAGAATTGAACTGTAGCTCTTATTATTTTATTCCTCATTGTTCACGTTCAGTGGATAATTACGTGTGTGTTAAATTGCAAAGCATTTATTTGGCTTGATTAATAATCCTAACAGTTGTTCTTAATCTTATTCTCTTATATTTAAAAACATTTCTCCCATTTAAAATTACTCAGATAGCCTTAGAATGTGGTACTCTTCTGAACGCGTGGACTCTTAGTGTAGTTCTCTAGTCTGGCGTTGGAAGCATGTTCCAAGTAAAGTATTACATATTTAAAGACTTGCCTTAGTAGCATAGCAACCTCCTAATTATTGCTAAAGAATTCTAATTAGTAAGTCTTTTGCTTTTTATTGAAAAAGTTGAGAAAGGGAAAATGCTATAATTAAGACATTACTGTGTATTTAGAATATTTAATTCATCACTTTATCTGTGAGCCTCACCCTGCAGGCCGCCTCCCCAGCTGCATTCATTTCAAAAGAGGCTCTTCACCCAAACTATCGGTCTTCCTCCACTGGAGGACAGTATACTTGAGAAAGCAAGCTAGAAAAGGAAGCACAGCTCAGACCCTTATCCCTCAGAACAGCTTACTCTAGGGATGAAGGAGAGAGGAAGGAGTTAGCAAGCTTTCCAGTAATGCTTTGTCACTTTGTTTCCTCTCCGGGAAGCGAAGTACACCTGCTACTGTGGATGGATGCAGAACGTATCTAGAGACTAAATATCAATCATCTTTAACACAGCCCCAAACTAATTCATTGCTGTTCAGTGCCTGTGTTCATAACTGCTTTATACAACTTCGTGTATGAAAATTTTCTGTTAAAGCCATAAGGTTGTTATGATATCTTCCTCGTTGTCATAATCATTATCAATGATTAATGTGAGAAATAAACATTTTGAGAGCCTTTTTGATTTGGAAATTCTCCTCTTCAGTACCAAAGTTCTCTTGATAATTTTGTTTATAAGTGTGGTTCGGGACAGGTGGGGGTAGGGGGACATTCATGAAAATCACAGAAACCCATTAAAAGATATAAGCTGCCTTTCTGTCTTTAATAAAATGGGGAAGCCTAAAGCAAGCCAGTGTTTTACACAGTGGCCAGTGTCACTTCCCTAGCTGGTCAGTGTGACATCTTAGTGTTATCGTCGCTCCTGGGAACATGCCTTTTCCTGCCAGACTGTGTGTCTCAGGTGGAGGCCAGGGCAGGCCCCAGAGCTGAGTTGTGATGATTAATCATCTATGGGGAAACCATCCCAACTTCGTTCCTTACATGTCTTTAGATTCTACAGCCCTTCCCAAGCCTTGGGATGTATAACCCTGGGAACTGTTAGAATTATCTGCGTGTTGTTGGACACATGATATGTTTTATACCTTGCGGATCCATTGAAAAGAATAAATGTGGCAAACTAGTAGTCGCCTTGCTTCATGCTGACCATTTTATAAAAGGTACCAGGCACTTTAAGGATAGTTTCTTAGTAATAGTTTTAACATGTGTGGAGTTCCTCCGCCTGAGAGTTACACGTAATTCATTCCGATAATTGCTGATGATTATATACCCAGCACAGCCATATACAGATTCCTTCTGCTGGTTGATTTTCATATGTTTTTAAATTTTTTCCATAAAAAAATGAATTACGGTATTTTTTGGTTCATACATCATGTTAGTAATATCATTCTTTTGTTATAGTAGGTGATACTTTGAATTTAATAAGACTAGCAGACAGGCAGTTAAGCTTCAGTATTTTTAGGATCATGCAGTAATAAAATTTAGAAAGTTTGCATATGTCTCCTCATGCCTTAATTTATCAAATGTGTTTATTTTTACAGAATCCTACTCATAATATATCACCTCAGCATACATGTGAAGAAAGAAAACTCCAAAGTCTCTTGTCCTGCCTTTTTTCCTTCTATTTCACCTTTCTAAACATAAAATAAAGTCATGGGATAAAAAAAAAATTATGCGTGTTCGAGGCACTTTAACCATCAGTTGCCTTTCGAATGCAAGAACAGTGGAAATGGCATTAAAATCCTATTTTACTGTGTTGAAGTGACAAATTGAGATAATACAGGTGGTGTGGCCGTTAGGGTCAGTCCTTGAAGATAAGAAACTTGCTCTCCTGCTTGTCTCATTTGTGGTGGCACTCGTTCAACTAATTCATGAGGGGATGTTACTCAGTGTCCGTTTTTTTCCAGGGAGAAAATGCCAGGTGTTGTGAAAAGCTATCAGTTGTATATAAGATGATGGTAGCCCGCGGAGTTGTTGTCTGTATCTGTAACGTTCTATGTGCAGAAGCTGGTGATGAAAATTCAGTGTACATTTATCATGTGAAAAGAGGACTAGCTAAGAGCAGAGCACCTCAAATAAGTCAATTTGGACGATCACAGCTCCATGTCCAGTGAGAGAGGTCCCGCCTCCAGTGACAGCTGAGAGCGCTCGCTGCCTTCGAGGTGAAGTCAGCAGCGCTTCCTTGTTCGCTTCCGTTGGCCCTGTTGTCCTTTCTGCACCCATTTCAGATTCGTTCATTTTGAATGTTGTATAGGCAAGCCGGGTTTTCTGTTAACTCGCGGGGTTTTCTGAGCCTGTTGACAGCTACTGGATTGTGACACAGGATAAGGAAGACAAAGAACCATCCGCTGACTGATTTCATGTAGACGGTGGTCAAGCATTTCAGGTGGGCATCGGGAAAAGCGAGAACGAGACTACTTTCTGCTACAAGACTCTTTTTAAATAGAACTTATTTCAACAGAATAATGTTGACCACCTCCCTCTTGGCTGAAGGTGTAAAAAAGAAAAACCTAAGATTTGGTTCATTGCTATTCAGTTACAGTCCCTTCACAGTGTTTTCTTGTGTTTCATACAAATAACTTTTTTTTTTATTGGCTAAAGGACTTTAAGGCACAGAAATATGCCATTTTTTACTTAGATGGTCTTTCTCATCTCTGCTGTTTGTTGCCATTTCATTAAGCCTTTATTATTCTAATAAAAAGGCCCATTGTGTGACAGTTTTTATTTTATAGTTAATTTTACAGCTTTTTTTAGAATTATGGTGGGTAACAGTTCCCTTGCCACCCCACTTTTTTTTTTTTTTTTTTAAATTCAGCATCAATGTATTCTTCACTGTGATTCCTTTCAAGGTCTGATGACAATATGCAAAGTCGGAAGGATATCACAAAGTTATTTCATAAATTCAGAATCTGGTGAATATTTGTTTTATACTGTCTGAGAAGAAAGGTAGATCGAGCTGCACACGGCTGTCAGCAGCCCACACCCACATCGTTCTGTGGCCGATAAGTAGCCAAAGACATTTCATGTCTTTCAGCCCTAGGGCTGATGGGTGAACAGAAAGGGAGCAGAGCCGCCCAGCGTCCTGTGCCGAATTTGGAGATGACCTCACTGGTTAACTCCTCTAACCAGTGCTGCTTGGTGGCAACTACCCCTCACGGAAGCAGGCACCGTGCAATTATTAATATTTTTATAGTTGTAAAACACAACGACTTACAACTATAAATCTATTTCTAAAGAAATAGGACCATGTTTATTTGTGCTGTGGATAGGAAAAATACCCTCAGCTGTATGTCTGTAGATGTTTCCCAAGCAAAAGGCTGATGTTACGTCAGTACTTTTTTCACATCTCTTTGTATAAATCTAAGAAACGGGGATGGGAGGGTCTTCATTTCGAGGTCAGTGTTTGTAACTTAAACGTACAAATAGATGGTAAAAGTTAATGTGATTAAAAATCCCGTGTAAGAGTCCAGACACCACCTCCTCCCCCGCAGTAATAGGACTTCTTTCTATCATGGACTACGTATTTTTTTTCTCCTTTTTAGCTGATCTCATTCTAAGCATGCTTTTTTATTTTTTTTCCTTGAATGTTAGGTTGATAACATGTTATTAAAAGAAAAAAATAAAATTCAGATTCTCAACGGTAAACCCGGTGTGTTGTGTCTATAGTTCAAAAAATTACAAGTGATTCGAATTTAAACAAATCACTTCAGAAATTCAACGTACGGGAGTCAAGTACTAACTCGAGCAGGAATCCTTTGTTTCTCGTGGCAGAATTTGCCAAGAACAGAGCGAGGAGAGCTCCGTATGGAAGACGAACAGCCACACACAGAGTAGGAGTGTCCGAGCTCAGTCCTGGTGGGCAATGCACAGTAGCACACAGGCCGCCCTGCTGCTTCACGGGGCCGCGGAGCCCCAGCTGCAGGTGAGCCGTCCGCCTTTCCTGGTGGCTTCGTCGACTCCTCTTTGTGTTCCCTCCGTTTTTCAGGCTTTACTCCAGGGGGCCCCTTCCCACCAGCGGCGTGGCCTCCAAATGCAAAGGAGTGTGTAAAATGAGTAGGGAACATTGCAGAGTGGTGCTTCCTCACCGTATAATTTGGGAAATTCACCCGTGATAAAGGTTCAGAGCATAGGCTTAAGAGGTGAATTCCTTAACTACTTAATAATTGTATATTTCGGATGTATTTATCTGCAGAAAGAAATACGGTATTTTAGTTTTCCTGTAAGAGGGATCAAAATAATGCTTCTCCACGCTGGTGTTTGCCGTAGTTTCAGGTACTTCAGGAGTACAGAGACGCGCTTACAAATACACTTAGTTTTGAATGATCATGGCTGTGTGTTTAAATACCTAAAATTCAACCTCGTGTTTACTTGTGCACTGTGAATGAACTTTGTATTATTTCTTGAAACCTTCACACTCCGCGTAGACGTCACTGCAATTTATATTTTGCCTGTGCTTAATTAAGGTCATTTGTGTAGATGAGCAATTAAAGATATTTAAATCACGTCCCGATTCTACATTGGAGAGCATCTTTTAACTTCTCTTTGTATTAATGAGGGGGTGAGAGGAGAGGAGAGACCTGTGCGCACAGGGTCCTCACGTGATCTCACGGTGCCACCAAATCCGTGGCCTCACAGGCCGCCTAACGTGGCTCTTCTGGGTCCTTACACTTCACATGCTTCACATCTCACACTTGTAATCCATGGTCAGACACTGCTGTCTTTTTTCGTGTCTTGATACTTGTCAAAACATTTTGCTATTTTCTTTGATAAAATATATTAAAAATGTCTTTTAATTGGATTTTGCTGCCACGGCCATCATTTTCATTGATGATGCTAGCGCGTTCATCCGTACGGGAGGCCTACTGCAAAGTCATACCTGAGTCTCAGAATGGGAAAGACCCTTGAGGATCCCTTACTTTCATCTACCACTTAATTGTGAACTCCCTTTTCTCACTGTTTTCCCCCAGAACTTTGCGACTAAATGATACTTATTGTCTGTTCATCGTTCGATGTGTAAAATAAGGCAGCAGCGCATAGGTGTGCTGTGCCTTCTCCAGGACTGCTGTGGTTGGCTGAAGTCAAAACTAGGGAAAGGTTCAAGGTCGTGATTGCTTCACTAGGTGGCACCTCATAGCTGGATGTGCTTTATTTCGGGTGAGTAAATGTCAAGAGACAGTACTTTGAATTCCTTTGGAAGGTTTTGTTTGTTTTTGTTTTGTTTTTTTTTCCTTTGGAAGGTTTTTGGGGAAGAATGTTTCAGTCTCATCAACCTGAGACACACTTGACAGAGTTAACAGGCCAGTCACAGTGTGAGGCTCAAATAGTAGTTTTACTTTAATTTTTTATCCTTTGTACACTTCAAGGTCAAAATCTTCATGTAATGGGGCTCCTGGGTGGCTCAGCGGTTGAGCGTCCGCCTCCGGCTCAGGGCTGTGACCCCAGGGTCCCGGGATCAAGTCCCACGTCGGGCTCCCTGCAGGGAGCCTGCTTCTCCCTCTGCCCGGGTCTCTGCCTCTCTCTGTCTGTCTCATGAATAAATAAAATCCTTTAAAAAAAATCTTCATGTATCAAAAAAGTTTGAAGAATTTACTTTCTATCGATTCAATAGTGATTTGTTTCCTTCTCACACTTCCAATTGAAGTATTAAAATCTTTTTAAAAATTACTCATTCTTTATTTTTTAATTTGAATATAGTTGACACGTAATATTAAATTAGCTTCAGGTATATGAAAAATTCACAGATGTATTGTTTAATTGTATTCCAAAATTTTTTTTAAAGATTCTATTTATTATTTATTCATGAGACACACACAGAGAGAGAGAGAGGCAGAGACCCCAGGCAGAGGGAGAAGCAGGCTCCACGCAGGGAGCGCGACGCGGGACTCAGTCCCGGGTCTCCAGGATCACGCCCTGGGCTGAAGGTGGCGCTAAACCGCTGAGCCACCCGGGCTGCCCTATTCCAAAATGTTTTAAAATAAACACACTCAGTTTGTAAGAAGTAAAACGGCCACGCTGTGCACGTACTAAGCTAAGCTGATGGATGTAGAAAATTTAAGAGCTAAGGTGAGCACCGCAGAAACTGTCAAAGATGAGGAAGCAGCACAGTCTCAGGACAGTTTAAACGTGAGTGACCTTTACGCTCAAGAGGACAGTTCCATAGAGTAAGGGCAAGAGAAAAGAACATCGTCAGGTTAAAGAAGTACCTTGAGATGCTAGAGTTGAGTCCGTAGCTTGAACACGCGCGTGTACGATCACTGCAGACGAGCCCGCTCACTTCGCAGGACCGGCGTCGAGCTCGTGTGTCCGGCCACTGGGCAGGGAGTCCCTCCACCGTCCTTACAGCCGTGCGCTTCCATTCTTCCTTCGTGGTCCAGAGTTCGTCGTCGCTTTGAACTGATGAATCCAGGTGTTAGCCTGGTTCCTATCCTGCTGTCTGAGAAAATGTAAAAAACTCGGTTTTAGAGACCCACAGGCCCTGAGCCCCAGTGAGGGCCCGGCCACCGCCTCCCGTCACGGCGGCCCGAAGCGGAAGGCCCTTGTCACCTGGGGTCAGCAGCGGCCCGGAATGGACGGTTTCACCCTGGCGGCCCGGGCCTGGCACCGACCGGAGGCTGGGGAGGCCCGAGCTGCCACGCACGAACCCCGCGGCTGCGCCCCAGGTTTTCTGAGGATCAGGCCAAGGCCTCGGGGGGCAGCAGTGCCCGGGCTGGCCTGACCCCCCGCCCCGGTTCCCTCCCTTGTCCTCGGCTTTCACGAGTACCGCGGGATGTGCCCACTAGAACAAAGTCCGCTTTTCTGCAAAAGGTACTTCGCAGGAGTAGAACCTCGACCGCCTCCTACCGTCGGAGGCCACCCAGTAAGGTGGCCTGGAGGTCCAGGGCCAGCAGAGGCCTGCGCCGCGGCCCTACCCCTGCCGCCCCCCGTCTGTGCCGCCCCTGTCGGTCCCGCGGCCCTACACCTGCCACCAGTCTGTGCTGCGGCCCTACACCTGCCACACACACACACACACACACACACACCCCGTCTGTCCTGCAGCCCAGGCCGCAGCCCGCTCCGTCGCTCCAGCCCCCAGGAAGGCGCACGTTCCTTCACTGCTCCCGGAGGAGTCCCCAGCCTCTCGCCTCCAGATGCCCTGTGGGGGTGGCCACGCGCCCTTAGCACAGCGAGTGCTCCCCGTTTCCCTGCCAAGAACCGCCTTTGTCTGCAGGGCCCGGGTGAGCAGGACCCGCACCCGCCGCAGCCCGGCTGTGCCTCGGTGGCAGCTCGCACCCCGCTAGGCCGGGGGGACGAGGGGACGCCATCCCCAGGGCCCGTCCAAGGGCTTCGCAGGCCGAGCTCACAGCGGTCGCCGGCCCCGGTGCTCTGGGACCCTCCAGAAGCCCCCGAAGCCCTTTTGGGATCGGTCTTGCCAAAGGTTGAGCTCCTGGAATTGGGGGGGGTTAAGTCTTGAAGTTAGGAAAACCTGAATCTAGCACGAAGGCGCCAGCATGACTGGTGGTTGCGCTCCCTGCCACAGGCAGCGTTACTGCCATTTCGTCGGTGGGGAAATTGGCCCGGAAGTCACGGCACTTGCCCAAGGTCACCTGCCCAAGGTCACCCTAGTGGGTAGCGGAGTCTAAGTTGGAAAGCAAGTCTGGTTACGAACCTGTGTGCGGTTTGCAGGATCCGCCGTCTGTCGCGAGTCCGAGAGGACGGAGCTCGCTTGCGAGGCGATGAGCTGAGGGGCTGCGGCACCCCTGGGCACGGGCCTCCGCGACGGTCCCTGCGGCCCAGGGCGAGCTGCAGCCCCGCGTCTGCCCCAGGCCCCCAGCGGCAGGAGCAGAGATGACGACTTCGTGGGTTTCCTCAACTCGTTACTCTCGTTAATTTTCCCACCCAACCTAGTGGATTCTCGAAAAGGTTTGGGTTAGCCCAACCGCTCAGATCCACAAGTGTTTCTACCCCCGTTTGTAAGACCTTCATCGAATATTTCCCCAAATTTTGACTCCCTTTTTGTTTCCAATAAACTTAGGCTCTTGGCAGAAGCTTCTGCAGTCTCGACTCACTTTGCAGAACCTCATACAGTTCATTGAATTTTCTTGCCTCCCTAGTTTCCCAGCAGTCGAGCGTGGAATCGATGTTCCCTTGGGCCCCCCTCCCGAGCCAGTCGACCGCCCGCTCCCCTGCCGCCCGGGAGGGGGCTCTCAGCACCAGCAGACGCCCCGGGTTCGCACGCCCAGCCGCGGCCCCCGGGAACTCCGGGCGCACTCTCGGCCTTGCCGGTTGTACTCGCGTGGCCGAAGCGGGACCGTGAGGCGGCGGGTGAGGCGCCGGGCACCCCGCCGGGCACCCCGGGTGCAGCTGGCTGCCTGGGTGCCCTGCCACGGGCTGGGCCTTTGATGTGCAGACACCGCACGTCGGCCACAAACCTGTGTACAATGGGCCTGTTCTGGTTCGTGTGAAGATCGACATCCCTCTGCGTCGGGCGACAGGAGCCACAATGCCATTAGCATTTGCAAAGAGCGGGTCCTCGGCGCGGCGCGCGGGCTGCTCAGTTCGTGCTCCTCTATTGTGCGGGCGCCACAAAGACGCGAGGGCTGGCAAAGGCCGGTCAGATCTGCCCCTCGCCTCCCCGTCCCCGTCCCCGTCCCCGTCCCCGTCCCCGCGGGCTCCGAGGTAGGTAAATGAATTCCCAGGCCCTGGTGGGCGGGGATCCCTCCCTGACCTCATCCCTGTACCATTTGTTTGCAGGCTTGTAGGGGGAGAGGAGGACATTTGGGGATCCTTTGTGTTGGATGGTTTCGGGCAGGTTGGGGAGTTCATGGTGACTTTGTCCGACGCCGGCGGAGCGGAAAGCCCCAGCGGGCCGGGCGTGGCTCGCTGCCCCAGCCTCCTCGACGCCGCTCGATGCGAGTGTGGACCGGGAAGTTCCCAGAGCAGATGCGAAGGCGGCACATGCGCACGTTTGCCGTCTGGCCGTGGAAGCGAGCTCTTCCCGCGTCTACCACATCAGTGGTTCTGTGGGCGAGCGTGGCCCTTGTTCTTACCTGTACCATCGAATCATGAGCAGCACAGTCGTTCACGCCCGCCGCTGGGTCACCTGGGCAACCGGAGGCGACACTCGGGGGCCGTCCAAGCCGGCGCCCGCGGAGGCTTCCACTAGAGTGCGGAGGGGTTTGCAGAGCATCTTTTTTGCCCTCAGCTTCACTTTTTTTTTTTTTTGGTAGCTTTATGGTTTTATTAACACAACTCTGACCCGCACATAAGCTGTCTACTCGTTTTCTTCGCTACGCAGCCTGGCATTGGGATTGGTGACTCTGATGGCCGACGGGGCTGCTCTTTCCGCAGTGGCTTGCGGTGCTTGGAGGAGACACTGAGCAGAGTAAGATTTGTTGCACATCAGCGGCACCTCCCGTCCTTGACGTTTGTGCACGAGGAACTCCCGGGAGCCACTGGGCGGCACGTGCTTTGTTTTCCCGCTGCTCCCGTAACCAACGTCGGGCACCAGGACCTGGCCCTCGAAACCCCGTGCGCCCTCCTGTCAGTGCCTCTGGGTTTCCGCCAGTTGCGCTTAATTTTGACCCATCGGTCTGACTCGGGCCGCTGAACCTCTCGGTCCTCTAACGATCTTGGGCTCCCCCAGAGGTCTCAGGTGGCCGTGACGCCCAGCGGTCGAGGCTCCTCCGGCCTCACTTTGTCGGGCAGGGAGTTTGGTCTCAGAACGATGACAGCTCATGTTTTGCCAAAGGAGGAAAGCGGGCGGAGGGCAGAACCGACCGGCTCGGTCAGCGGCCGACTTCCAGCCGCCGGTCGCGGAGT